AGTTACCGTTTGGGTTAAGTTGTTCTGTGTGGATATTGTTATAAATTAAATATAATGTGAAATATCCATAAAATATGTCACTTGGTCAGGGGTCATCAGTTTACCCAATGATAATAAAGGGGTGCCTCAAGGAAAACAGTTAGGAACCACTGATATAGAGCATGCAGAGCTGACCCCTCATTACATCAGCTTTTAACTGTGAGAAATAGTATTTTACCTCCTTTGTCTCTTCCCTTGTCTTGAATTCTTAATGTGATAAAACTCCAAAAATCACTTGGTCCTTGTATTGTTTAATTATTTTATTGTGCTGTCCTTGTGATGAACTGTACCTCTTGATATAAAATAAACAGAATAAACATCAGGGTTCCTACAACTTAAAGCAAGTTACATTTAGGGCTTTCAAAGACTTTTTTAATGCCACTTGAAATTAAACTTAAGATCAATTTTTACAATAATTAAAAATAGAGATGAAGAGAAAAGAAAACATGAAATGACATCAGTGATCAGGGTGAGGGAAGATTTTACTGTTTGTATTTCAGAATACAGAATATAGATCCACTCAAATCTCCTCTTTGATGGTGGCATTGTTTTAATGTTATCTTCTGCCATATGTAATGTTTTAAAATATGCAGCACATGGGCATACATCTTCATCAGCCAGTCTCTAATTATAATTAACACATTTATAAAAGTAAATTAATGGAATTTAATCAGCTTAATCAAAAATGCCTTTTTATTTTTTATTAAATGTCATGACTTACTTGGTTGCCTGAGTCAGCACTGCATCATCAATACTTTCATTATCTTATTATGATTCATGCATCAGTTAAAGTACTCCTCTGTCTGAGACTGAATACGTGACTGTGTACCTGTATTACATGCTGTTATTGAAACATTGGAGGTGAAATGGGAGCCAGCTGCATGTCGCCATCATCTCACGAAACTAGATTTTAATGTAGAGCCAGATCAAGTTTCCTGACCCTGCAGCCAATAAAACTCACTCACAGAGGCTGATTAGAAAAAAAAAACATGGCTGTCAATCTTGAAAATGCTCTTTTAATAAAGTCCTCAAAAAGCCAGCTTTTAAAAGGCATGTGGTGTTTACCTGATCGCAGCAATATGGAGGTTTGGGAAATGCAGACGGCGAGCGGTAACTATCTTCCATTACTCAATTCTCTGTGGTCAGATGGCTTGATAAAGTGGCTTTTTTTGTGTGTCAGAGTAAAGACAGAGGCCATCCTCGGAGACATTAGTGGTTTTGACAGGCTGCCTTCAAGTACTCAAGGGATGTTGGTTCAGCTAATAAAAACAAGCGGGGCAATCTAATTCAGTTGCACACAGATAATTAAATAAAGAAACTGAGTAAAAGTGGATTTTCCCGAGCAAAACAATGACAGAGAAAAGAGAAAAGGGTGATTACCCGCGGCCTATAGTGTGGCTTAGCTGAGGAAAACAAATCACCTCGGAAACTGGCAGCACTCGGGGGAGCTGAGGACACAAATTGCAGATAGTCTTCAGAAAATTGCTCCTCCTGATGAAGACTATTGAATTGTGAAGCCAAACTGCTTTTCACACTGATGCACTGTTCCCTGGTTGTTACAGTCCACACAACACAGGCAATTTCAAGCTTGATCAATAAATTGGTTAAAGAACTTCTACTCTAATTTCTGAATATCTGCAAGTTTCACCTGAGAGCAAACACAGACTGGCTGGCTTCTGTTTATTGTTGCCTCAAGCCGAACATGAAAAGACACTGATATGGATCTATTTCTAGCAGGAGTCGAAGGTGATGTTGTGTTTAAGCCTCTTGCTTTTTGGATCTAATCCTGTGAAAAAACCTTCATCCCTGCATCTCCCCTGCGTGTGTCCCTCTCGCCTTTTTTTCTTGCATTGCAATCAAAGAAAACACAACAAAAAAGAAGAAGTGGACCCTCTTTTCTTTTTGCAAAAAAGCCCATTAGTGTCTCTCTTGAATCTATTCGTTTCTAGTTGGTCGATTGGATGAGTGGGTTTTCTCTGGGTTTCTTAAAATGGCAAAAGAAAATGTCTGCTGACCATCAAGACAGAAATGTTTGTTTACTTACAGGATTTGGCACAAAGATGTGAAAATGTAGCCAATGCAAGAGCAAGTATGAGAAGTGTAGCGTTTCCATTTCAACCTTCACAACCCAAAGAGAAGGGAAAAAACAAAACAAAATTAGACGTTAGACGTGATTGAATTTTAGGCTTCAAGTCCATCTAATCTGTCGATGATTGAAGCAAATGCAACAGGAGCCAGTGTGATGTGAGAAACATGTTTATGTAAATTTATGGAAATGGCTCTCTTCTTTCATACTTCTGCAGTACTGATGGCAAAATGAGCCAAGGAGAGGGATTTCCTCAGTGCCCTCCTCCCCACTGACCATCGGACAAAATACCCACTATCAGTACAACACAGCCAGCAATCAGCAAATCAGCCATTAATTAAAGGAGCTGTATGAGACATTCGGAGCAGCAAACAGCTATTTGCCATGTAAAAGCATAGTGGAGAAAATGCATCCTCATCAGACACACTCCCTCTGTGTTTGTTGTAATCCAAGCTTCTCTGTTTGTTGTTGTGATAGACGGTTCATGCATGTTAGTCCCTGTGTGTGTATCCCAATGGCTAGCTAATTGCCACCACTCTGTACAGCACTTGTGGTCATTACTGCCAGGGCCAGATCTTCCTATTGGCCATAGGCAACTGAAAAGGAAAAAAAATCTTCTAATCTTTAAATTTGACAGTCAAAAAAAAAAATCAAACATAATGGTAATGGTAGAATGGAGTGTATGAGGAGAGCATTAGAAGAGAAAATATACATAATGTATTCTCTTATTATTTGTTGTTTATTATTATTGTTTTATAGCAGCAAACAAGTTACCAATGGCCCCTTTTACACTGCCTGTTCGAGGCAGGAATATCACTTCGTTATTCCACCTCACCGTTCTTTACAAAACACATGATCACTGACTGGGGGGACAGAGTTGTCTCGACTTTGAGCCGACAGATGAGGTAGAAACAGCGGCAAATTGATGTCTGTGTGAAAGCGACAGCCAGTAAGAAGGGACCACGGATGGGATGGGTGCAAAGTTTTCACGACATGTTATGTGTGTGACCCATTGCTGGGAGATTTAAAAACAGCAATCTCAAAGAAGAAAAACTACAGCTGAAAAAGTTCTCAAGGCAATGAAATCAAGGAGCTCCTTACCTTTCAGAGCAGAGGATGAGATCAACCGCCATATTACAAGGACTTTAAAATACTGTTATTGCCGTGTTTTGCCTTTGTTATTGTTTAGAAGGAGCTGCCGTTGCACAAGAGGCTGACGATGCTGTGTTACACATCACAACTGTCATGCCTTGTTTGCTTCCAGGATGCCAGCAAGCTCTTAAAATCACACATTGATGCAGCAGGATGCTGCTGTTATTTTCTTCTGTATAAACATGCAAAGGCGGGATAACAAAGGGACTTTGTAGCTGCCCTGTAGTGGGATCTCTGTTCCTAAAGGGCAAAAGTTAGCTCTGTCAGCACTGTTGCTGTTGTTCACACTGTTTGCGCTGTTACTGTGCATTCACAGCAAAAGCGTCAGGTCGCTGGCATCGCGCTGCCTGGCAGCAGCTCCAGCAGGCGCTTGTAGCGGCCAAAGGGGCGGGGCTGGCTGCTGCAGATGTGTCCATCAAGGCTGACACGGCTGTTCACTTTACAAGGATGAACAAATATATCATTTATGTCTTCACTTTGTATTATCCATGACTTTCATTGCACAATTAAAATAACGCTAATAAACACAGTCAATATAGAGTCCTTTATAATTACGATTTTACCCTGCTGTTGGCACGTAGGACCACTGAGAAATGTAATTGGTGGTAAATAAGCAGGAGCTCATTAATCGCACTTTCGGAAGCCTCCTTTGTACTGCATCGGCCTATTTGCTGAGGAAACACAGGGCCCGGAGCCGTCGGGCCGTCTGGGTCCACAGACTCCTGCAAACCCGGCAACTCCACGGTGAATTTCACTGGCTTGTACAGCTCCGAGAGAGCCCAGACCTCTACCCGAATCTCGGTCTACAATTGGCTGCTGCTTCAGCAGCGGCGCTGCTCATTTGCATAAAGTTCAGCTTCTCTCAACTTCTAATTGACGCTCTGATAGCTTGCATCGCGCCATTCGCTGCAGCTGACGCCCCTGACACCCTTCGTAGCAAGCGTACATTGAAAATGAATGGCTGTTGCCCGCTTATGACGCTCATGACGCTTTTGGTGTGAATGCACAGTAACTGTGCATTCACACCAAAAGATTCATGCCTGGCAGCTCTGGCAGGGCTTGCAGAAGGCTGCCAAGGGGCGGGGCTTTCAAGCTGCGCTGCAGAAGATCTCTTTCTTTCTTTCTTTCTTTCTTTCACTGTCCCGCCTTGAGAATATTCACGGTCTGCAACTGGCTGCTGCTCGCTGCTGCTTCGGCGGCAGCGCTGCTCATTTGCATAAAGTTCAGCTTCTCTCAACTTCAGCTTGACGCTCAGGTCGCTGGCATCTCGCTGCTCGCGGTCGCTCGCTGCAGCCGGCGCAAGTGACGCTCTTCGTCATGAGTGTTCATTGAAAATGAATGGCTGCTGGCTGCTTATGACGCTCATGAATCTTTTGGTGGGAATGCACAGTTAGAACCATTAGCTGCTAGCTGCCGGTCAGCCTCAACCTCTATATTAAGAGCGGTATGTAGACAATCCCTACCTAGACTCCGAATCATCGATATGCTTTGAATGTCACAGCTCCTTCAAGAGAAATGTATAACATTTTATTTATGAATTGGAATTTATGGCATTACAAATATCTCTAATTATGCAGCAAGCATTGACAGGGCACCACAGATATGAAATTTATCTTCATGTAACATCCAGTATCATAAAGACAACTGTTCAATTAAAGCATTCAAAGATGTGATGATTATTAAATGATTTACATTCATTTTCTTAATGAATATCCTGGAAACATTCAGCTCTAGAGAATGTTTATTATTATAATTTGTCTTTCAGAGCATGGTTCCTTACTTTTTGACACTTCACAACACAAAAGACGTGGGAGTTGAAACACAAGGAGGACTGAACAACAGAATTCAGTACAGACACATGAAGCACAAGTTTACACATGAGGATGTTTTTGACAGATCCTCAGTTTGGAATGATGGCGCTCTGAGGGGGAAATAGGATAAAAATACCAAAGAGTCCCAAATCTAATTATTATTGACCTTTAGAACAAAGAGGTTACTGGAGGTCAAGATGTAAAGTCTCTCATTGGTTGCTCTGAAGCCCAGGATTGGTTTATCAGAGTCCAGGCTGGCCACCTGTTGCTTGGCAACCTGTCCCACCTGACGCCCCTGCTTCCTGTTGAAGAGGACGGTCTCCACCGGTGTCGGCTGTCGATAGATGAACGCTCTGCGAAGACACTCGCACAGTGAAGCATAGGAGAAGTTTGGAGCACAGGTCGCAAACTTTTTATCCCGTTTGGATGCCTGGACGTAGCCTGTGAAAACAGAGTGGTGAGATCAGAGACATGCACAGAGCAGAGAGGACCTTCAACAGGATCAACCTGTTCATACTTTCACTTATATACACATCCACAATTAAAAGCTGCCTAGAAGAGTAATGATGCAGTTCCACTAGATAAGTTGGCGTTAGGGATGTTGGTACTCACTTTTGTTCACAGAACGAGGAGTCATCTAATACACCTGATTCAAGATCAATTAATCGCATAGAGAAGAAAACTATCCAACTGGTCCTGATTATCAACATAAAAGTACGACAACAAATAAAGCCATTAAAGCATTAAGTATATCAGACATTTTTGTAGCCTGTCTATGAGTAACACACTCACACATCCTCCAGTCAGGCTCTTTGAAGTGGTAATTCATGGCCGTCTGACAGCTGACCATCTCAGGTTTGTTTCTGCAGTAAAGATGTTGTAAATGTGCTTTCCATTTGTTTTTGCTGCTGAATTTATTTCCTCCAGGGCAGTAAAATTAATAGCACAAAGCGCCGTACTCTCCAGTAGGTTGAACTGGACTCCCAAAACTATTATACCTGACTGACTCCAAGAGAGACACTTTAAAACTACAGTAGGTAAATTTTAAAAAGTTTTTGTTATTTCCTGAAACTGTCACTATATTCTAATAGGAGTACATGAGACAGGTAACGTTTGAAAAAATCTGGTTCCTCTGACTCCTTTTAGTACTCCTAATTGCATTTGCAAGAATCCACCGCACCTGAACAAAAACAACGTTTCAGAGCTTTACAAACACAACCGCTAAGAAAAAAACAACAACCCACCAGCAATGAAAAAAAAAACTGCCCATCCCTCCTTTGCCAACATCAACTAAAGGCCTTGACACACCAAGCCAATGTTGGGCTGTCGGTAGGTGTGTGTCACGCCAGGCTTTGCAATATGTCCTGCACTTTTGGCCCCGTCGGCCCTTGTCTACTATTCAGCATGACCACTTTAAGTAACAGGCTGTCCGCTGTGTCCTCTGCTTCTCAGTCAGATCCACCCCTCGCTCCTCCACAGCATCAACCTCTCACCCACATATGGTCAATTCTGGCTCCAAAAAAGCGAGATGGCGACAGCATCGACAAAACGGGAGTCCACAAACCAATGGGTGACTTCACAGTTGTTATGTCCATTACTTACACAGTCTATGATTTGTGTACACATGCTACCAAGGTAATAAAAGGTCAGTCATGTGTGTGTCTGATTAGTAATCAATTAATCTATTACTTGTAATCATGCCTAGCTGGGGACTGGCTCATGGGCCCCTTAATGGTAATGAGACAAGGGGAAACAGTGCTCTTTTGCACCCATAATATCCTACCAATCCAGTAACTAAAGTTCGATTGTTATTGGAGCAACTGTCCGGTAACAAGTTAATTTCTGAAATCTTTGGGTTCCTTCTGATTGGTTGAACAAAGTGTACAATGTGATATCTGGTGCATAGTTACAGTGGAAGCCTTGAATTGCAGTACTTAAAACAGAGTGGGTACCATGTTAACAGATTCATATCCCTTGTCTTTGGTGCACAGGGAAGAGAAGATCTGAACTACTGAAAGCTACCCAGGCAGCTAAAGTGCTCTAAAAAAAAAATAAATAAAAAAAGCCAAGTGGCTGAAATACAAAAAAAAGCTTTAGCACACAGGGACGAGTGAGTTAGTGTAGTAAAGATGGGGTTAAAATCAGCAGCAAATGCTTCAGTCCCTCAAAATCATTAGTGTTTACGGATTTACGATTTTAGGAGCTTTAAATACAGAAGGCCCATTAATGAGACAGTAAATTCAGTTAGACAGCAGAGGTGCTAAGGTAGCTGAAATATATTCATATATACTGAAAATTAAGTAAAAAAAACTAGCAAGAATGCTGTTTCCAGTTCTGCAGACCTGATGATGTGATTTTTTTTCTGTTTCACATCAGTGTGAATTAATTATTTTTTGTTTTTTGACTTAAAGCTACTCTTACCTTTCTTGCAGTTCACACAGCACTCCATTACATCCTCATTACCTTTATGATAGACGTGGGCGTTGGCAAGGCAACGTTAGATACACGGAGAGGAGAGCGAGTGTAACACGCCAAGAGAAGAGTAGAAGAGAAGAGGAGTAAAACACACTGCTGATTGCTGAACGAAAGATAGTCAAACGCAACCCCGGAGTTTTAAAACTCAACCGGAGTCACTGATGACTGATGAGTTTTAGAATAAGGTTACAGTGCTAACGTTAGACAGCAGCGTTAACGTTACTAGTAAGTGGAAACGCACAAGGATCATAACGTTAATGTTTCAGAGGCTACGCTACAGTAGGCTAACGTTAGCCATTAGCATTAGGGGAAGAGATGTTACGCCGGCGGTTATGTCAGTCAGAGGCCTCCATGTGGGGAAGACAGACATAACGCTCGGCCAATCATTGCATTCGGTCGGAGTTTTCTTAGAACCATATGAGAATGGTACAGTTATGAGTTTTTATCTCTGGTGGAATTCTATTTTTAGTGTGCCATCAGCTTATTAATAACATTTTAGCCTAAACAAAGAAAAGCATAAAATTTCCAGAAAGGTAAGTGTTGCTTTAACAACTGACAAAACAAGTTATTTGACAACATCACCTTAGGCTCTGGATAATTAAACAATAACCATTAGTTTAACTTCCACCCTAAAAAAAAATCACATTAAAATCTGCAACACTGACATAGTCTTTCAATCTTTTTGTTCAGTTCTTCAGGTTAAAGGGACAGTTCACCCTATACCTGAAATGCGTTCAATTAGGGCGGCCCCTTGAAAGTCGGAGATTTGAATCATCAGTTAGAGTCTGCTCAGTAAACTGACATTGCTTCAAGGTTGTTTTTTTCCCCACTAGTCTGTGCGCTGTGTACTTCTGAGGATGTTTTGGTCCCAGATTTTGCTGCAGAGTGAGCACTCTTGACTTTCACAATACTCTTTGGTACAGTCAGCAACGGACAAGATGCAGCAGCACAGAGAAGGAGAGGCTTTGCACTGTAAGGCTCAGACTAATGTTATCTCCTCTCTTTTGCCTAGAAGTGGTAAATTTACAGCTTACAGATACTGAATACAACACAGTCTCTGGCTTTTGTTTTTTGATTAATAAATAATAATCTAGATTGTAGATAATCTAGATTAATAAATAGCACGACAGGTAAGAGAAAAAATATGTAATTCTTATTTTAGGGTGAACTGTCCCTTTAAGGTATTTGAAAATCCCTTAATCTTAAATCATTTGCCTTCAGTGAGATGCGCACAACACATTGGTATTTGCTAAATCTGAAGGTGACTTCACACCATGACAACAAGAGAGAGGACAAAAGACTTGAGGTGAACTGAGCTTTTGTTGGACGGAGGTCTCCATCACTGCTGAAAGACAAACTATCTTTCACTCTACTGATCTGATAAGCTATACTTCTTGTGCACTGAGATTTCCCATCTGACACCAGTTTTTCAATAACAGAAGAAAAGACGTTTTTCTCTACAGTTGCTGAACTCTGTCATTAAGACTGATAAGGTTAGTTTCACAAAATAATGTCGCCTCCTAGCACCTCAACCAGCACAATCAATACCAAACCCGTTATTACTCTACACAATGAACCTATTGTTCATTTCAACAGTGTAGAACTTATATTTTCTATATGAGAATATAGAAGCTTCAGACACTGGTTTAATATTTCCTCACTCATCTTTCTATTGCGTCGTATAAAGTCTTATATTGGTGTTCAACCATGCATGTATTCAGCCTATTTTCCTCTGAGCCTCACTGAGATAATTTCTGAAGATATCACTAGGGATCCATCTGCACTCTCAGATTGGATGATGTACCCCGAGAGATGTGCAGACTAAGCAGATTGTTAAAACTCTATGGTATTAAAAAAAAAGACAAATGAAGATGTCATACCTGTAAAAGTGGAAAATTGAAAAAAAAAAAAAAAATAACTTGTTGGAGATGCCATCGTTGAGGAGAAACAGACCAGCAGATAAATTAAATGAAGACAGAGATGGAAACAGAAGCGGCTCTAGAAATGAGAACACTGGCGGATGGCCTTAGTATCTGATTTGAGATGTGGAGTTAAATTAAAATAACAGTTTCAACACATCAGTCTGTGCCTAAGCTAGGAGGCACAATATTATCCAGTTACATTTAATCATTCAGACCTCTTTGAATGGTTTATTTGCAGAGAAGAAGAGAGATCTGTTAATGGTCCTGTTTCCATATATTTCTTATTGTGTGTCCTTGTAGACTTTGAGCTGTATCAGTGAACTCCCCCTTGTCGTTAACTGCAGTTTTATTGCCGCCATTTAACACGTTCTGTCGTCTACCCACTAGAGGCACAGCAGCATGACAGCGGATGTAAACAAAGTTAATAGCTGTAAGAATGAATAATTCAACTCAAGGCTGTCATGATTCATCAGAAATGGAAATTAAGGTAGACCTCTGCTGGGACTTTGCTGCCTTCATTCAAACCACTCCCATATACTGTGGCTGATATAACATTTCACATGACTTAAAGGATCACTGCCAAGTGTTTCTCATATTGGCATTATGTGTTCTACCAGCACAAGGATGCGCATGTAGGTGATGCGACAGACATTTCTACCAACTGCACAAGAAGACAAGTCTTTATCCATGAGACTTTAAGAGTCTTTTGTGGCATTTCACAGTAATGAAATGGCAATCTCAGGGACTGGGACTCTTTGGGGACGATACGATTCTCTGAGTAACCCTTAACAAAAGAGACATAACAAAACATGTCTAAAGGCTTCAACAATGTGCTCTTACATCTAGATCCACTGTAGCAGGAGTTCACCTGGCTGTTTGTGTTTGCATGTGTTTGTTGTTGAAACTCATACCCAATGCGTTGAATGTAGCAATGTGCTCCCACATGTTACTGGGTTGGTTGGGACGAGGCTGCCACACCAGAGCGTCCACATCGTGTCTGAGGCAGAAACATGGCATTTCAGACGGGTTCACATTGACTGTGAACAGGTACTGATGGCTGCCGAGATTCACCTGGAGAGACACAGACAGAAATTTTACAAAAATGCAAATTATTGAACATTTTTGAGTAACATGGGAAGGACTGATTTTCTGATGGACCCTGCCATAATCAGTTGTGTGGAGCACACTCTGATCAATGTTCCATCTATTTCTATTCTTTCTTTCATTCTTTTGTTTGTTCTGTTTCCTTTTCTTTCCTTCTTTCTTTCATTCCTAATTCATTCTTCCTTTCCTCCTTCTTCCTTTCTTTCCTTGTTTCTTCATTCCCTCTTTCCTCAATTTCCCCTTCCTTACTTCCTTCCTTTCTTTACTCTGTCCACCATCCTTTAGTTCTTCTGTTTCTTTCTGTTTCTTCCCTTCCCTTCCCTCCTTCCTTCCTTCCTCCATTCTTTCATTCTTCCTCCTTCCTTTTGTCCTTACTTTGTCTCATTCTTATCTTTCCTTCTTTCGTCATTACTTTCTACTTTCTTTATTCCTTTTTTCCGTCCCTTTTTTGTCCTTTCTTCTTTCCTCCCTTTCTCCTTGCTTTCTTTCTTTCTTCATTCCTTCCATCTTCCTTTTCTTTCCTCTTTGTCTGTGTTTTTTCATCCTCCCTTCCTTTTCTCCTTGCTTTCTATCTGTTTCTTTACTTCTTTTTCTTTATCTTTCTTTCTTTCTGGTGCGTCAGTCACATGCTCAGGTCCTGGAAACATCAGCTGACACCAAAGGAACAATCTCTGTTAACTGACTATTGTAATGGTTCCCTTTGTCCTGATAATAATGATCCTTTTCCATTCCTGAAGATTGTGCGTGATTTAAAAACTTTTCTGGATGTTTGTTAAATCTCAGTGAGTCACATGTCCAAGGTTTCAGTGTTCTAACAGGGAAAACAATGTACAGACTGATGGTCAAATTGTTAAACAAAGGTAAACTGAGTGGTTGTATTGGCACTCTGTGGAGAGCTCACCTGTCTTTGAGTGATGAGGTGAAGCCTGTGTGTGGAGCTTTGTACAAACCACCATTAACAAAGAGGGTTGGAGACCTACAGGGGAGAGTGTTGCACAGAGTTGTGGCTGTCAATGCTTTTGTGTATGTCTTAAATCCTAATGTTAATGACAACTGTCCTTTTTGCACCACAAGAGAGACTGTTTTTCACTGTTTTTTAGATTGTTGCAGGCTCAGTTCTCTGTTTGGTCTTTTAAAGAATTTATTCAGAGTGTTTGGTGAGGTCTTCTCTCAGCAGGCTTTTATTCTTGGGTTTAAATACAATCAGAAACATCGCACAGTGTCAGCTGTTCAACTTTTTATTGGGTCAGGCAAAAATGTCTGTTTATGTGAGCAGAAAAAAATAAAATAGAGCTCTCCTTAGACTGCGACACAAAAGCCATTTTCATTCGAATGCTCAAAGCCAGAATACAACTGAACTACAGTTATTATTGTGCTGTGAGAGATGTGAACACATTTATGGACATATGGGGCTATAAACATGTGTTATGCTCTGTAGAAACAGACCAACTTCTGTTTGGTCATGTGTTGGGATAAGTTTACTCCCTCTACACTCCCTCTTTACGCCCTAGTAATTTTTATGTTTCCTGACTGTTTAAAAAAACAACTAGTTAGTAAATAAAGGTTTCTCTAGACGTTTGTTCCCACGTGGTTAACGATATAATTAAATAGAGAGATTTCGGTCACTGTTGGTCACAGATCTCCTTCTTGCAATTTAGTGTGGCTTTTATGGGTGAGAAGCTGAACGGTTTGTGATAACAGCCATAAAAGTCCATGTATTTGTCCCACATTCACTTTACTTTGATGGATGTGCCTGACGAAATTACATGTGTGCAGTCTAAATATATTCTGGTCTGACTCCATTTGTTTTGGAGCTGAAATGACCGTTGCTGTGACATAATCGCTCCTTGACATCTGACTGTTCACACTGATCCCTCACTTGGAGTCAACCCACATCCAGCCAACTGCCAACATGTCTCAGAGGCTGTCAGGCAGCGCTGTCCTCCCCATCTCAATACACACTTGACAGGCATTGAAAATTCAGCACAAATCAGCACATATGTTGGTGGTTGATGGTTGCACGCAATGACAAGCCTTTTTAGCAGGCTATCACTCCTCCACTCTAAAACTCATTTTCTTGCCACTTGTGTTTCGACTTTGAGAGTGAGGCAGACGTTCACTCATGCTTTGGTAGAGCCTTCTTGTGAGAGTTGACTGACAATGACGCCAGTGAGGGCCCCGGTCATGATTTGTAAGCACTAAAAAAATAAAAACAAAAAATGACTACACTGATGATTCAAATCAGAAGATTTATCTGTCATGAAGGCAGAGTGTATACATGTTTCATAAACTCTAAGCTTCCTGCAAGTGATGTCAATGATTAGTTCCTCTCTCTGCACTGAGACCTGCTAATCAATCAGCGAAATGAGGGGAATGGGGCAGAGGGAAAGCTGGTGCAAACACAACAGTAGCGGTATGAAGTGGTTGACAGCTACATGAATGCGCACAGATTTTTGCTCTGCCGTGCAGAGCTGACCATGTTGAACTTCTGGCAGTTGCTGCCTGGCTTTGGTCAATCAAACAGTAGGCATCTCTGAAGCAGAAAGAGGAAAAGATGACAAGATGGAGGAGCTGATAATACTGGTGTCTAAATACCTATAACATTTTCACCAAACTTAAAATGACTGGTAAATTGTCCAAATATGCAGAAGTTTTTGGTAATTTCAACTATTACTGTTGTCTTACTTCAGTATGCAGCTACAAGCTAGCTTCCACCAATGCTCACTGACACTGATATATATCTGTCACTAGAATTATTTAAAAATGCTATGGTCATGAAAAAGCTCTACACATGGTGGCTTTAAATACTACAACTACCACCATTCTTACTTATTGTGGGAGTCTCCAGTGACATTTTGAAACTATTAAGCCCAACATTGTTTTCCATCTAAAAAGAAGCCTTTATTCTGATGCACTGAAAGACAGAAGAGGGCACCACAATATGGGGCTGAAGAACTTGACACTCAGTCCCATATGTAACAAAAAAACAAATTGTTGATAAGCTTTTCTACTTTCAGAAAATCGATCTGTCAATATCTTACACCTGAAATATAATAATATCCTTTGCTCTTACTCGTGGTTGCTGATGCTGGGTGGGAGTGGATATTTTCAGGTATTACAGTTTTTATTTGATAAAGATCATTGGGAGCTGGAAACTCTCTGCCACATTTATTAAGAATGACATTAGCCAGAAAAATAAATCTAGATTCTTTGAAAATGAAACAATTTCTTCTGATACACTGCAGCTTGTTAATGCTCACATTTTAAAAAAGGGAAAATCCAATCGTGAGGCTTTTATCTTGTTATTTTACAGCATACATATATCTTCCAACAGCCTCTAGCCTGCTTTCCGCAGATTCATGTCTTTCACTTACAAACGATAGAAACCAGAAGAATCAAAACCTCTATAAAAAAGTTAATCCAAGCCAAACTAACAAGGCAAACATATCTTGTACATCTCTTGTATTCTGCTTTTGGTTTTTTTCTTTTCTAACAAAGCCATCATTGAATGAGGAGGATTTAACTGCCAGCAGCAGAACAAAGCATCGGATTAAACTCTTGAATAAAGAATCTAAATTCCTCCTAATTCCTATGTTACCTGCTAAACCGAGATATGCTATTCAAAATAGAGAGCGATAAAAAACATGAAAGGCAAGCTCAGTTTTTGGGGGGCATGGGGTTTTTATTAAAGGGCACAGCAAAAACCCTTTCAGGTGTTCTCCTGTATACTGAAAGACTGCTAAATGTTTTTAATGCTTGGCAGAAACAGAATGGGGTTAACCTGTTTTGCCATTTGGGTCTTTTATATCTGTTTAACACTTTGTGGTAAAACATGAAGTTTGCTTAACTCTATTGAAATGTTTTTCTTAGGGCTGTCAGCGTTAACGCGTTAATCGCGATTAGATTAATGCAATCCATAACGCATTTATTTTTTTTAAATCGCATTTTAATTTTGCAAGCCTTTTTGTCTCTTCTACTCACCCACAGTCGGCTCCTCTAGCTGCAGCGTCATGCTTCAAAGCGGCTTCCTGCAGTAAACTTACTGCGGTGATGGAAAGAAAGAGTGCTACTGGACTTTTGAACGGCTTGTTTAACGTTAAAAAACTTCCAGACGATTCAGTTGACAAGTCAAAAGCGAGCCTCAGCTCCGCCAAAGTACCATTTTGGAATGTGGGAGTCGCCGCAGACCCGTGGATGAAAGTACGTCGAAGAAGTTAACTAAAGCGATCGCTAAATGCGACCAGTCAACATCGTAGAAGACTCAGGTATTGTATTAAGTTGGTCTACATGGCACTTTTTTGAAAGAAAATACAAAAGGTCAAAAAGGAAATTCTTTCTTTGTGTTCATTTGATTCCCAATTAAGACACTCTGGTAAGAAATGCTTTGCATTATAGGCTTAAAACTGCCTTGAAATGCAAAATAACAGAATTTTAAACATGCAATTCAAAATGCAATTAACTATGGAAATTTTGCGATTAAAAAAATTAATTATTTGACAGCCATAGTTTCTGTATACCAACTCAATTTGCAATTATTTAAAGGTATCATGTTTTAGTGTACCTGCTATTCAAGTCCCCTTTATCGAAAATATTTTGCATTTTGTTTTGCTAACTAGGACAATGTCTAAAGTTGTTACTCAAATAGAAAAGTTTCCATGTCTCCATTATTTTACATTTTTAGACAGAATAATATCTCTGAATCGCCGTACAAATCTGCAGTAATCTAATCAGAAATTTCAATGGGTCTTTCTGGTTTTCACCCAGGCAGCAAAACTTCAACTCTCATTATGGGAATCAGGAATTTCGGGGCTGCAGTAGCTTAGTCTGTAGTAGTGTTAGGCAAAGTCTGCTAAGGCATATTATAACATCCACAGTGAAACCCAATTGATGATGACATCGTTGTTTGGGGGGCGGGGCGCAAAAATCAACCACCCAGACCCAACCCACAAACTGCCAACTTTATGCCT